TGCTTATCAGGTGAGCTCGACGTTATTTTTTTAAGTACGTAAGCATTAAATTTTGCTGGAACTAGGGATCTACCCTGGATTGTACGTTCAAACATACCATAGACCGTACAACCACTGAACCACTGCCTACTGCGCGAACAGGTAGCTTTTGCAGCCTTAGGTACTGAACTGTGACTCTGTTATAAAACAGGCTTGAGAGCCCTGGTCAATCAACGCTCTTACTACGTGGTAGTCGCCTGTCTTGGACTTAGCATTCACTAGTGCTGTGGCTAGTAAGACCTGTCGAGGCATGAACATATTTTTAAAGAAACAAAACACTACCATTGAACCACTATTTGGAGAATTAGTGTCCACGTTATCTTGTTTAGATGAATGACCATCGTCTCTGAGGGTGTAGCTTTTTGAACAGTTTGCGAGTGGTTTGCTTTTTGCAACTTGTAACCATGTGATTACTGCCCATACAATTTAAACATAATTTATGTTTTGCTACAGATTCGCGCCTGTTGTTGTGGTTTTCAGAACCCCGTTTTCAGAGGTTTTCAGTGGACTTGAACTCACGGCTACTAATGCCTTTGAAATGTGTGAAGTCTTGACCTGTGGAGCCAAAACCCTTTTCGGTTTTATGCACTCTAACGCGCGAAAACCAGTTTCAATAAAACTAGAGAACTGTTTAAAGGTGGGCAATTCGTTCGAGTCATTTCCACTTACATGTTTCCCACTGCTTGCGTGTCTCAGAATCAAGTTTAGGAAATGTATAATAATGACCTCCCCAGTGGTCACATTGACGTCTAAGTTTGCCATTGCACTGAGACCATCGTTCGTCGTGTCAAGCATTTCCTTTAAGGAAGTCGCTGATTCAACGTGCATACGTTTTTGGATAATTGTCTAAGCTCGCGTTGTTATGCACAAGTGACGTGAACAAATTCCGAAATGTTGTCCATTCACCATATTTAAGGCTAAAATTCGGTATTGTAATTTTCGGCAATTTTGCGAATATAGTTTTGGATAAACCACTCTTATCATGACATGTATCAGCTTGTTTTTCATAAGCAATTTTTTTTAACAAATATTTCATTAAACTTCTATAAATAACTTAGGTATCCTCTGTACCATCATTTATATCTATAAGTACATCTCTGGAACAGAATATTTTTGTCTCTTTTTAGTATAATTGTAAAGAGATCTCAATTATTTTGTAACAATTCTTGTTTAATTTCTGTAAATGCCAATGTTAGTCTGTATTTGGGACTCTTTTTAAAGTTAATAAGATCTATTACCTTTTGTAGGTCTTTTAATACATTGAGTACCTATGCCTTCTATATTAAATACAAAGTGAAAATAAACAAATATTTTAACAAGTTGTCAGTTCTGATTGTTTATAACTTCGATTTATACTCTAACCGTAGAGTAGCAAACAGTGAATAAAGACCCAAAAGTAAGTATTTGAGAATAAAAGGTTTTCGAGATCCAGCATGGATTCCCCTTCCCCCGTTTTATGTAATGAAATGAAATGATGAAATGAAATGAAATGATATTTATTTCTGTAAGTAAATCTTTTCTGTTATTTTTACAAGTCGGACTTTATAGCTAGAAGGAGCCGGCATTTCCTAAGACTCACTCTGGGAAGAAACGCCAAAACAAACCACAGAGGTGTCTTTTTTTTTTAAGTCCGTAAACAAAGTTAAATAAAACTGTGCGAGTACAGTATAGGGTCTGGATAGGCCTTTTGAAGAAAAGAACAATAGTTTTGAGTCAACCTGTCCATACAGGCTCCAGCCATCGTGTAGCCTAACCGATATTGGTCAAGATCAACGACCCGAAGCATGACACTACCGCCAGCAGGACATTTGAGTAGGCCGTGGAAACACTCAAAACCACCAGAAAGATAATAAAATATGAATTAACATTACAAGCCTACACTGTACTCACATTTACATACTTACACAAAAAATAAAAAAATACTATACAGTTCAGTGTCAACGAAAAATAAAATACAAAAACAAAATACGAAATACACCAAAAAAATAATAATTAAATGTCCATCACTTTCAAACTTAACAACAAAGATGTCTACGTAAATGTGGGAGTGAGCAGCATTAATCCCAAGCAAATTTGTCGTCTAAATAATCTGTAATAGTGTAGTAAGCCTTTTTACATAGTTTCAGCTTTACTAAAGACTTAAATTTATTAATACTTAATTCATGGAATTTGCTTGGCACTTTATTGTAAAATCGCACACCCTGACAACGAAAAGACTTGCTTACTTTTTGTAGCCTAGTGGTTGGTAACACGAGTTTATCTTTATTTCTAGTGTTTATTTTATGCATGTCACTAAACTTTGTGAATAAATGATTATTTTTCTTTACATACACTAAATTTTTATATATATATATTGAGATGCGACTGTCATGATACCAATTTCTTTAAACTTATCCCTCAGTGACTGCCTATAACTGAGATTATAAATTGCACGAATAGCTCTCTTTTGCAACACAAAGATACTTTGAATGTCAGCAGCATTTCCCCACAACAAAATACCGTATGACATTACACTATGAAAATAGCTAAAATACACCAGTCTAGCTGTTTCTACATCGGTTAATTGACGAATTTTGTAAACCGCGTATGCTGCAGAGCTGAGTCTATTCGACAATCCGTCAATGTGTGGGCCCCATTGCAATTTAGAGTCTAGTGTTATACCTAAAAACTTGGTGGTGTCCACAAGATCCAACTCCTTTCCATTTATTAGAACATTGGTCTTTACCTGCTTAACATTAGGTGTAAAAAATCTAATACATTTCGTTTTATTCTTGTTTAAAAGTAAATTATTAACATTAAACCAGTTCACAACCTTAGAGAGAGTGCTATTCACGTCATCAGTTACTGATTGCTGTCGTTTAAGTTTAAATAACAGTGAAGTGTCATCCGCAAATAGCACTATCTCCTGATTATCATTTATCACATTAGGTAGGTCATTTATGTAAACAAGAAATAAAAATGGGCCGAGAATTGAGCCCTGCGGAATCCCCATAGTGGGTCCCCAATGGACAGAGACCCCAGGGATCTCTGTCCATTAACTTCCACTCTCTGGATCCTATTACCCAAATAAGAGATAAGAAGCAGTGTTCCTAATTCCATAGTAATGCAATTTCCTGATTAATGTTTCATGAAAAACGCAGTTTTTGTTACTCAATTATTTTCATGTTTCTTACCTCTAAACTCTTTCATTTGTAAACCGATTATGAAAATTCTTTTTTATTTGGAAGGGTATATTTCCCCTTGAGTTCCATTCAAATGTGAAAAAAGACTCCTAGTTTTGGAAAATTAAGTAATGTGGAAAACAATATATTCTCGGGTTCAAATGTAACATCTTACTACCTTATCTAAATAAAGTAACGGACTTATTAAACTATATTTAATATAATCTAACATACTACAGTTTGTTAGTATACCTTACGGTACGTAGAGTTTTTAATATCGCACTTATCCACTCATCACAAACATATCTTACACTAAAAATGGTAAAATTAATCCCTTAAAAAAAGTTGAACCGACTTCAAACAATAGGTACTGACAAATACCACTAAAAATTAAAAAAAATATACAAATCTAAGTAAAAAAGCTATAATTACACATATTATAATAGCAATAGTCCCTCCTAGTCTGTTTGAAGTCGGTGTCAAGCCCGATGTAATACTGGTCTATGTCAGCTTTATATTAGCACAATAAAAAATTAAGAATTGAATATAATTCTAATGAAACATCGCTGATTTTGTTAATTAATAAAGACCAACCAGATCAACTACGTACGCAAACTTATCAACTACTTAATAATGCATTTAAAATAATAATATCATTGGAGATGTGCGTAACCCACTCTTTCAGCATGTTTTGCGCAGCATGAAGACTGTTGAAGCAGCCCCGCTACATTCTACCGAGCTTGTCAAGCACTTATTTGGCTTGGCACCGAATTCAAACAGACTAGAAGGGACTAATGCTATTATAATGTTACCTGTTATATGGAGGGTACTTTTTTTTGTAATTATTTTTTAATTTTTAGTGCTCTTTGACAGTATTGTTTGAAGGCGGTTCAACTTTTTTAAAGGATTCTTAGAAATACTTTTGAAAATACATTAGTATTAAACTCTTACAGTTTTGACGTCTTAACGTGAACCCATAAGCTAAATCTAAATTGGTTTGGACTAAAAAATTAACTTGAAGACGAAGTCTAAAACAGAAGTGTTATCTAAATGTTTAGGTAAAATGAATATATCTTTACAGAACTTCCCTGTCTAAAAAAAATATTTGTTATAGCATCA